CCTTAGGAAATACACACTGAAGTATTTAATAGCAAAGGTGCATAATGTCTCCAACTTACTTTCAAATGGTTCAGAAAATTTTTTTTTTTGTGAGGAAGATTAGCTCAGAGCTAACATCCGATGCCAATCCTCCTCTTTTTTTGCTGAGGAAGATTGGCCCTGGGCTAACATCTGTGCCCATCTTCCTCTACTTGATATGGGACGCCACCACAGCATGGCTTGACAAGCGGTGTGTCAGTGCGCACCCAGGATCCGAACCTGTGAACCCCGGGCCGCCAAAGCAGAGCATGTGCACTTAACTGCTATGCCACCTGGCCGGCCCCCCAAATTTTTTTATATATATAGAGAAGGAGAGAGATGATAAAGCAAATGTGGCAACATGTAAACAACTGGTGAGTCTAAGAGATATGCAGAGTTCTTTGTATTGTTCTGGCAACTTTCTTCTAAGTTTGAAATAATATAAAAATAAAAATCCCCCCAGGGGCCAGCCCCGTGGCCTAGTGGTTAAGTCTGGCACGCTCCGCTTTGGCAGCCTGGGTTCTCAGGTATAGATCCTGGGTGTGGACCTACACCACTCGTCAAGCTATGCTGTGGTGGCAATCCACATACAAAATAGAGGAAGATTGGCACAGGTGTTAGCTCAGGGCTAATTTTCCTCAAGCAAAAAAAGAGGAAGATTGGCAACAGATGTTAGCTCAGAGTGACTCTTCCTCAGCAAAAAAAAAAAAAACCAGAAAACTAACCCCCCCACACCAAAAAAAGGAGCATAGGAGCCAGCTTGAAGGGGGTCTCACTGGCCAAATTTGGATCAATTTGAGCATCAAAAAGAATAATTGAATGAACAGTGAATCTATGAATTCATATCAATATTTGAGAATTTTTTTAAAAGGAGAGGAAGTATTTCTTGACCAAGCAAATGTCTATTAAACGTAGAGGGAATGATAAAATTGGAAAGTCATGATTTTGCAACCATAAATGTAATGATGGATTCAGGCAAGGACCATCAATTGATGCTAAAACCTTTGAGTAAATGGTTATTGGAAAAAATATCATATTTATGGTCTCCAAGAATTACCCCACACATGGCTTCTTTCACTCTAAAAGGGACCTTGACCATGTTGGAATCTGGCAGACCCACCTTCACCAAGTGTTCAGACTTCACGTCCCCACTAATGGGACAAACTGATGTCCTGGATCTCCTGATGGGCTGTCATCTGCACTGCCTTACCACCCCAAATGTTTAACCCCAGGAAAGGATCAGGCAGATCCAGATTGTGGAACATTCTAAAGAAAATGGGTCTGGGCTCCTCAAAAATGCAAGGGTCATGAAAAATTAAAACAAATAACCCAAAAGATGGAGGGACTGTTGTAGATTAAAGGAGTGTAAACAGATGCAACAACCAAATGCAATGTGACAACTGGACCATTTTGGGACAAGGGAAATTCCAAAGTGGACTTCGTGTTAGACAATATCATTATATCCATGACTGTATGGCTGTTGGGTGCAGTGACAGGTACGATTAAGTAGGAGAAGGTCCTGGCTCTTATGAGGTGCTGCTGAACTATTTGGAGGGAAAGCGCCTGGATATTGAAACTTACTTTCAAATATAAATATATATGCAAATCTAAATGCAGAGAGAGAAGGTGAATGATGTGAGAAGATGTTAAGAGTTGGTGTACCTAGGTGAAGGTATAGAGAGGAGTTGAAAAGTAGTAGTTTATTGTATTAAATTTTCAGCTTGCTTGTAGATGTGCTATTTAATTGAATTTTTTATTGAGATAATTATAGAGTCACATGCAATTGTAAGAAAAAATATAGAGTGACCCCTTGTGTACTTTGCCCACTTTCCCACAATGGTAACACTTGGCAAAACTATAGCACAATATCACAGCCAAGAGAGTGACGTGGACACAACGGACCCGTTCTCTTCACAACCTAGTTTCACGTGCGCTCAGTTGTGTGTGGACCATGTTGTATATACAGGTTGGTGTGTCAAGGTACTGAACAGCTCCATCTCCACAAGGGTCCCTCGTGCTGCCCTCCTACAACCACACCTGCTTCACTCCTTTCCCCAATCCCACTGCCCCTAATGTCTGGCAATCCTTAATTTGTCCTCCATTTCTAAAATGCAGTCATTTCCATAATGCCATATAAATGGAATCGCACGGTATATAGCCTTTAGGGACTGGCTTTTTTCACTCAGCACACTTCCCTGGAGACTCACCCAGGTGGCTGTATCAGTAGTTCGTTCCTTTTGGTGGCTGAGCAGTGCTCCACGTGTGGATGGACCACAGTGTGTCTAACTGCTCACCCTGAAGGTCATCTGGGCTCATTCCAGTTTTTGGTTATTACAAATAAAGCTGCTATGAACCTTAGTGTACAGATCTGTCATTTTTTAAGATACCAAATTTGGAAGGAAAAATATAAGCTGCAAAAAGAGGCAGAGCTACAAGAGCATCTAGTACAGACTCCCCTTCGTCGCCCTGCAAACCTCCCAAAGACGATCTTTGACCCCATGGTCATCACGGTGGCCTCCGTTGTGAGCATGTCTTAGAATCTGGGCAGCTCAAAGCTGTGCCCAAACTGCCTGTGACAGAGCCCTGAGCGAAGGTGCCAAGTTGCAGTGACAAGCTGAAGGAAGTGCAGTGAGGAAGCGCAGGGAAGCAGCCTCCCAACAGAGCAAACATACGGTCCCAACAGGTGGGTTCTAACCTGAGTGTGCATACTCGCCATGGGGCATGTGAGGGTCCTTCCTGCTGTAGCAGAGAGCTGGCGTGTCCAGCCACCTGAAGTTTTGGCTCTGCTCAAATGCCCACTTCTGGGCGTTTCTTGCCCCTGGAGTCTTGTCGAGCTGCATGTTCAGCGCGCCCAGGGCCCCACACAGCAACCAGTGGTCGTCTCTGGGGCTTGCTCATTTTCACGGGTGCCTCGTGGGGTCTCTGTCTGTCCCACCTGGTCTTCACCAGGTTTGACCCAGCCAGGCCATCGGGGGGAGGTGGGTCTGCGCCGCCTCTCCCACCTCGCACTGCTAGGGCGCCCTACCTCCGCAGCAGGAGGGGAAGGCATGCTTAGGGGGATGATGTGTTTGTTTGCTCCCCCATCAATAATCAATTCTCTGATAGATGTTTGCCAAGCACCCGCCCGGGCCCTGTGCTCACTCTGCTCTGCCTGCCAGCACGGTGGAGGGCCAGGCAGACAGGCCTGCCAGGGGGAGAGACAGCCAATAAACAAGCGAGCAGGTGTGAAAGACCTGTGCCAGTACAGATGAGGCTCTGAGGAAACCCCTGCAGGCTGAAGGGCTGAAGAGGTCAGGCTGGGGCAACTTGGGGTGCAGGGGGCCTGGCTGCCACAGAACTTTGCATGGGGCCCTGATGGGCTGAAGGCTGTGGTGGGGAGTGCTTAACCAGGCAGTGGCCCCCAGAAACGCCCCACAGGTGTCTGCTCCGAGGCTTTGCGTGCCCAGCTACACATGGCCAGTGAGACCCACTGGAGGAGGTAGGAGCGGACAAGACAAGATGAAGACAAGGAGGAGGCACGTCAGCAGGCATTGTTTCTGAGCTACCGTAGACCTGATAATGGCCAGTAAGGCGGCTTGACCAGATGACCTCCTGAGTGCCCCAACCTGAAATCTCGGCAGTCCTGTGATGCTCCCTGGCCTCAGGGGAGGGGGCTGACGGATGGTGACCAGGCGATGTGTGTGGCTCAGTGAGGCACTGAGGTTGCGGAGCTTGAACGGGTGGGTGTGTCTCAGAGGGGGTACTGGAGGGGCATCCCTGGAGCTGCAGCTACCTGAGGCTTTCCCCGTGTTCCTAGACACACATGCAGATGTCTGTGAGACAGAGGTGTCAGCTATAGGAAGGCGTGAGCACCCACATGGGAGGGATGGTAGGATCCCACACACCCCTCCTCCCGGACCTTCTAGACTTCCATTGTGCGCCAGTGGGTTGGAATCGGGGACAAGTTCTGTCGCAGGGTTTTTAGCTGCTGGTAGAGAGAGTCCAGCACTGACAGTGTAGAAAGCTCATCTCAGACTTTGACTGAATCTGCGCTCTCAGGTCTGGAGTTTCTTAGGGATTGCTTGACCTTTACACCACCCCACGGGGCCCGCAGGCATTCACTCCTGAAGGAACCTCCGCAGAGATGCAGGCAGGCAGAGGTGACCAAAGGGGACAGGGGGTGGGGGGGCGTGCGTTGGAGTGGAGGTGGGAGCACAGTGGCCCGGCGGCGAGAGGGAGCCCAGGCCTCGGCGCGCTCCCGGCCCGCACGGCCTTCCTCATCTGGCCGTCTGTTCAGAGCGGCGGCGCGAGCGCTGACAGCCGGCCGGGACCTGGGGCCACGTTAAGCCGGTTGGGGTGACAGCGCGCCGGGCCCCGCCCCGGGCACGCGCTCTGGCAGGACGGGGGGCGCGCCCCGGGCCGGGGGCGTGGCCTGGGCGTGGGACGGGCAGCGCGCGGGCCCCGCCCCTCAGGCTCCGGCCGCGCCCCTCAGGCTTCGTCCCCGCGGCCGCGCGGCTGTGCGTCACGGCTGGTGCCAATAAAGTTGTTTGACGCCGAACCCGCGGCAGCAGGTCACGTGGGCGGAAGATGGCGACCCCGGCAGGCGGCGGGGGCTCCGCGGTGTCGGTGCTGGCCCCGAACGGGCGGCGCCACACAGTGAAGGTGACGCCAAGCACCGTGCTGCTGCAGGTGCGGCCGCGGGCGGGCGGCGGGCGCTACCTCCTCGGTGGCCGTGGGGCAGTAGGAGATGAGCACGAGCGTGGTGAGCAGGTTGATGGCGAGGCCCAGGAGGGTG